TTACCGCTCGTTTTCCTTAACCACCTGCTCCAGGCTTGCTTTGACGTCTGTCATCTGCCTCTGAGTGTTTGACAGGGAGAAACAAGTGTGTGAGTAAGTGAGTGGTGGGAGGAGGATGATGATTGAAAGAGACTGAGAGAAAGCGTACTCTTGAATGGCAAACTTATTATAGGACAAATTCACTTGACTTGGGATTAAACTGCAATTTAAAGCTGACAGCATGAAATCAGCCCCATCAAGCCCTGACAGTCATAAAACCTCACTGTAATGTGAGCATTTATGTGGTGTAAGCATTTGTGTTGGGTAGCAATGTGTACCTGATAGAACTTGAGCTGCATCTCCATCTGTTGTATGTGCCTGTCATATTCTTCTATTAGAGGAGCCATTAGACTGAAAACACCCAGGTCAGAGAACAACATCGTAAAACATTTAAGATTATAGGTTATTAACATTTAGGGTCCCATAATACTGGATTACATAGCAGTACAGTTATAATAATACTGTAATTACAGTATACTACTATAAATAGTTTATAATTTTACATGTATTACATAATTAAAAAGAAAACATAAATACTACATTTTATATGTTTTCTAAATAAAAGAAATATGCAAAAATATGAAAAAGTTGTCATCACAATAAAATAAGGTAAAAGGTGAGAAAATTAAACAGAACACAACAGCACACATTCAGTTCATACAAGTTCAGTACAAATTTCTGCCACTCTTTCAAAATAAGATAATTTAGTGACATGGTGTTCATAAAAAGGCCTGATTTTTTTTTTCATTATGAACTGGATGCATGGTTAAAATAGTAGAGGACTTGAACCAGAGACTGTAGTAGCAGGTTTTTTAAGGCCGTAGAGACTCACCCTCTGTCTGAGAGCCAGGGAGCTGCAGATTCCATGACCACATCACCGGTCTAAAAAAAAAAAAAGAAAGAAAAAAGTGAAAGAAGTCCTTCAAGCCTTTATTCTGGGTTTCTGCAGGGTTATGAATTTACATTAAGACTTTTAAGACCTTTGTAAGACCAAGAAAACTTATGGAATAAATTGAATGGAACATGATACATCAATATCTTTATCATTGTTTTTGTCTTGTTTTCTAGTGCAAATGTCTAAAAGATTCTTGAATCATTTGCTTAAGAAGTAAAATGATATAAAATAAAGAGACTTGTTTACGGTGAAATTGATCAAAACAGAGTGAGTTTATTATTAAAAAAATAAAAAATATTTGCCAATGGGCTCAAGAAAACTACCTTTATTAAAAGGGAAAATAAGATTTCATACCCCACTGACGGACATTTGTTCTTGTTTTAAGCATAAACTCAATGTTGTGCAATTTACTCTGAAAACAAGACTTTATATGTTCAATCTGCATCTCAAGTAAATGTGTCTTGATTTAAGGATGTTTCGATATTTGTTTTGGAAAACAGGGCAAAAATACTGAGGAAGATGTTCATTCTTTTGCAGTGCACGCAACATTTAATGACGTGACTATGAATTTAAGAGTTTCTGCTTCGTTTTAAGACCTTTTTAGGGCTTCATTTGTGGAAGTGTGAATTAAGAATTAAGAAATCATGTTTATTTGAGGAATTTACTGTTTATTTTCCCCCCACTTGCTCAGACTTAAATACGGTCAAAATTTAAAATCTGTCATAATTTACTCTCTTGTTATTCCAAACCTGTTTGGAAACCATTCACTTTCTTTGTATGGAAAATAATGCAGTAACAGTGAATGGTGACTCGAGCTGTTAGTTCTCACATTCTACCTTACAGTGGCGGCTCCAGGACTTTTTTGTTGGGGGTGCTAAGGGGGGCTTAACAGTTCAGAGGGGG